AGGAAATGTGTGGCACATGGGCAACCCTACGCGAGCTGCTCCCCACGGCACACCCACAGGCTCGGGGGGTGTGAATTTTTGAAACAGAGTCTTGCTGTGTAGTTCAGGCTGGCCTTGAACTCACAGTGATCCTCCTGCTTCAGCCTCTCAAGTGCTGAGATTACATGTGTGTGCCACCACACCTGGGTAAAAATGTACTAATATGTAAACCAACTAAAGTAATATAGAAATATGACATGTACAACCATCAGTTGAACAACTTTTAAAGAATATATTTAATTTATATAAAGATCCCAATCTGGCCAGGCACAGTGGCTCATGCTTAAGCCAGCTACTCAGGTGGCTGCAGAAGGAGATATACAGGGTCAAGATCAGCCTGGGCAATGTAGCACAAAAACATAAAAGGGTCAGTGAAGTTATGAGATAAAAGATAATGCTGCTGTTTCAGTTTTGTTTTGTTGAGATAAGGCCTTGCTGTACAGTTCGGTCTGGCCTTGAACTCACTATGTAGCACAGCCTGGCCTCAAACTCACAGCAGTCCTCCTGCCTCAGCCTCCCAAGTGCTGGGATTAAGGAGTGCGCTACTATGCCTGGGTTGTTTCAGAAGCATTTTTGAAAGCAAAGATCAAAACAAGACTCAGATGTGAAAATCTTTTCTCTTCCCTTTCCCATTCTTATTTTACCGGTCTTGGCCTTCATTACAGTTTTCTTTGCAAGTCTCCTGTGCATTAATGTTGACACTGCAGGCCAGGGATGTAGCTCAGCAGTGCCATGCCTGCCTCGAAAGCACAAGGTCCTGAGTTCCATCTCCGAACTCAGGTCTGGGGAGGGGCAGGCACTATTGACACTGCAGTTGTTGCCCATTCTTGGTGTATATAATGTATATACTTGCAATTCATTATTAATGCTTTTAGATTCAAGATTGGGATTCTTTAACATTCTCTTCTATATCCTTATATTAAAATTTCTGCTGGGGTTGTAGCATGCCTGATGCCCTGGGTTAATTGCCAGCACTGCAAAAAAAAACACCAAAACAAAACCTAAAAGTTTCTACCTCTCAGGACTAGCAGTATAATATGGTCAGCTAATATAATATTCTCTCTAGCACCACCACAAAAAAACCCTAAAATTTCTATCACAGAACAGAGTTTCATTAACAGTTACTTAGTTTTATTCCTGATAATAGAAAAGTCTCCTGTCTCTCTCCATTGTCTCCATTTCCCCCTCTTCTCTCTCTCTCTCTCTCTCTCTCTCTCTCTCTCTCATTATCACGTTAGCTAATTTGGTTTTGTTCTTTTAAGTGATGGGCAGTCTTCAGCCATTCCTGTAGCCAGCATGGAGTTTGCAGCCATTTGTCTCAGGAACGCCTTGCTGCTGTTACCTGAAGAACAGCAAGATCCAAAGCAGGAAAATGGGTCTAAAAACAGCAGTCAGCTTGGAGGGAACACAGAGAGCAGTGAGAGCAGCGAAACTTGCAGGTACAGTGTGTCCTGTCCCCTCCCTCTTCAGGAAACCTCTGTCCTAGATAAACTCCTAAAATCTTCAGCCCAAATGTCCAAAATTCTGTTTTAAACTGTAACAAAAGAGATTATATTTCCAATATTTCTGGAAGAGAAAAGTGATAGTTAAGTAAGCAGAGATACTTGAGGGAAGAAATGGAAATAGCTTTTCGCTGACTGGAGGGACATTTGCAAGAAGTCCCATGATTATCAAAGATAGCATCATCAAGGGGCTGGGGATTTAGCTCAGTGGGACCATGCCAGCCTCACAAGCACAAGGTCCTGAGTTCGATCCCCTATACCAAAAAACGATAGCAGTATCATTAACATTTACTAAAATGCTTAAATCCTAGTTTTCTAGTTTTGTGATATAAAGTAAAAATCATACGAAATAGTTTACCTAATAAACACCATTATATAAAGAAAGTTCTGCATTTTACACGTGGTGCCTTTAATGTCTCCTACCATTTTTTTTTTTTTTTTTTGGTAACGGGGATCAAACTCCAGACCTTGCACTTGCGAGGCAGGCAATGGCACCACTGAGCTAAATCCCCGGCCCTTTTTTTCTTGATTATAATTTTTTAAATGTTTATAATAGAAAATTCAGGAGGCAGGTGTGGTGACACAGTCCCAGTGCTCTCCACACTTGGGAGGCTGAGGAAGGGAGGGGCACAGTTTGAGTCCAGCCTGGGCTGCATAGTGGGTTCCAGACCAGCCTAGACTAATAAACGAGCACCTGTCTCAGAAAAACAAAAAAGCAGATGTGATGGCACAGGCCAGTAATCTCAGCTCTTTGGAGGCTGAGACAAGAGGATCAGGAATTTGAGACAAGCCAGAGCTGGGGAGGGGCAAAGCTGGGCATGATGGCACACACTTGTAACCCCAGCACTCAGAAGGCTAAGGTGGGAGGATGCCACAGTTTTGAGGCCAGCTTGGGCTGCGTCGTGAATTCAAGGCTGGCCTGAATTCCCCAGCCAGGCCTTGTCTCAAAAAAGGAAAGAAAAGGAATTTTTAAATTATACAGGGTTTGGCTCTGCCAACCAGTTAGGGTTTTTAGTGTAGTTGATAAAAAGCAATCTGAAGATTGAAAAAAATGTGAAAATATTGGAGTGATTTCCTTTATATTGGGCATGTTTTCAATTAGTTGTTTTTATTTTGGGTTTTTTGTTTTGTTTTGTTTTGAGACAGGGTCTCCCTGGGTAGTCCAGGCTGACCTTGAACTCAAAACAATCCTCCTCTCAGCTTCCACCCGAGCTTTTGGTTTGATTTGGGTACTAGGTTTTTTTTGTTTTGGGGGGTCTTTTTTTGGTGTTTTTGGTTTTGTTTTGTTGCAGTAACAGAGATCAAATTTAGGTTACTCCCACTGAGCACTAGATTCCCAGCCCTTTTATTGTGAGACAGGATCTTACTTGGTTTCCTAGGCTGGCCTTGAACTTGTGCTTCTCCTGCCTCCATCCCTGAGTAGGTGGGATTTCAGGTGTGCTCTATTGGGCCCTTCTTAAAAGCAGTATTGTATGCTGAGGAAAAGAAACTAATACACCTGTACTTTTACCATATTGGTGATACCAAATTTGTTTTGGCTCATACTTTATCATAAACACTTGGGAATGGGGAAAGAGAAACAGATTTACCATTCATTGTTTATTTGTTTCTTTTCCTGATAAGAATCTGTCTCTATTTCAGCAGTAAAAGCCATGATGGAGATAAATTCATTCCAGCTCCACCTTCTTCTCCATTGAGAAAACAGGAATTAGAAAACTTGAAGTGAGTATGTAAACAAAAGGGGCACTGCGCCTATTGAGATGAACATATTATTCTTTTTGTGTCCTTTACTGGTGATCCTAGAATTAGGCAATACCTCACTGTATAAAACAGAATGAGTGCTCCAAAAAGCTGAGCAGGTTTCATAAACAGAAGAGGGTTGGGCTGGGAGTTAGCTAAGGAAAGCAAAACTAGAGGGCCAGAGATTTAGCTCAGTGGTTCCGCCGCCTGCCTTGCAAGTGCAAGGTCCCAAGTTTGATCCCTGTACCAAAAAAAAAGAAAGCAAAACTAGAAAACAAAAAGCACTATAATCTCAGCACTCTGGGGGGGTATGATGATCACAAATTTGGGCCCAGCCTGAGCAACTCAGTGATATAGCAAGGCCCCATCTCAAAATAAAGAAGGACTGAGAAAGGTCCTGGGTCCATTCCCCACTACAGCTAACTATAAATAAACAGCAGTCAAATTCCAACCATATAATTAAAATAAATTTAGTGCTAGGTTTTGTTCTTAGTGGAAATGCAAAAAAAAAAAAAAAAAAAAGGTTGGAATAATACAGTAAGCTGAGGAGAAAGATATGGATTATAAATGGTTTGTCAGCCGGGTGTGGTGGCGCACACCTGTGATCCCAGCACTTGGGAGGCTGAGGCAGGAGGATTGCCACGAGTTCAAGGCCAGCCTGGACTACATAGTGAATTCAAGACCAGCCTGAACTAAATAGCAAGACCTTGTTTCCAGAAGGGAAAAAAAAAGGATCATCTCTTTGTTTTTTATATGGTAAAAATCCAAATATAAAGTAAATCTTGTTCTACTTAGTCCTGTCTCCTTTCCACCCAGGGGCACTGACTGGGTGGGTTTTTTGGTGGTGTTTGTGGTACTGGGAATTGAACCCAGGGCCTTTGGACTGCACTACATCCTCAACCATTTTTATTTTGAGAGAAGGTGTTGCTGAGTCTCCCAGTTGCCCAAGTTGGGCTCACACTTGTGATCCTCCTGTCTCAGCCCCCCAGAGTGCTGGGATTACAGAAGTGTGCCACCATGCCCAGCTCCACGTGGTTTCTTTTATGTCTTTTCAATGACATTTCTCATTAATATCCCAATATATGGGTATATAGTGCTTTTTTACATCAGCAATTATGTAGTGTCCCTACTGCTCTATACCTTTCTTTTCCTGTTTGATAGTATATCTTTAGAGATTGTTCTGTATCCGTGTGTAGCTCTTATTTCATTCTTTCTCTTAGCTTGACAGAATTTTATTATATGGAATGATTTATTTAACATTCTTTTATGCTTAGTGGTTTATAATGTTTTCAGCCTTTGCTATTATAAATAATCCTGTTGTTAATATCATTGTATGCATTTAAGCCAATCCTTAATGAAGAAAGGCCTGACATACGAACGACTTGGGTTACAACTGGACTTTTAGTTTTGACTCACGATCAGAGTCTTGAGTTACGACCCAAACACTGGCTGCTGGTGCTTCCAAGATGGTCTCAGATACAGCTTTAACCCTTAAAGAGTTCTGGAAGGAACATTACAACATCCTTTCCTGTGTGGGGTTAATTAGGAAATCCTGGGCCAGTGTCTCCCTAAGAACACTGAGATCTGCCTGTACACAAGAGAGACTCTGAAGGCTGTGTAGAGGAGCCTGAGCCTTCAGTTGTCCAACATGAGTTACAGCCGGCCCTTGAGAATGAATTAAGTTCATAAGTCAATGGTCCGCTGTAATGAAAAACACAATTTTTCAAATTTGTCTTAATTTGTACAAGTTTATTTGAATGAGTACTAATCTTAGTATTGCTTTATTTATGCATACAGTTTAAGAAGTACTTTATCTCATAGTAGTTGAACATCTGCAGAGTTGTGTAATTCAACTTTATCTTCTGAGAATCACATTGAAGAAAAGGACATGGGGCAGGGTCAGTTCTCAAAGAGCCCATGAGTCCTAGTAAGAGATTTCCAAAGAAAATAAAATTAGTTCTCTCGTTTTAAGGGTAGAATGGGACAAAGAGTGTACATGGGAAAATTCCACATCATAAAATGAGGCAAAGATGGTATATATTGACCTATTTTTTTTCTGTTAATGGAGCAGATGAAAGAAAGGAAATAGAACAAGATGGAAGGGGCTTTACATGTATAAAAAAGATTATTATGCAAGACAGTAACAGTGGTAATGTGGAGACAAATGGTCAAGGGAAGGAGTCCTAAAAGATTTGTGTCATAATTTTCAAAGCTATGAAACCTCACAATGCATGGCCAGGTGAGGTGGCACACACCTGTAATCCCAGCGCCTGAGAGGCTGAGAGAGAAGGATCGATGAGAATTCAAGGCCAGCCTGGGCGAAATAGTTCAAGGGCAGCCTGAACTACACACCGAGACCCTATCTCAAAAAAAAAAAAAAAGCTTGGGTCAGCGATTTAGCTCAGTGGTTCCACCATCTGCCCCCCAAGCACAAGGACCCAAGTTTGATCCCCAGTACCAAAAAAAAAAAAACTCACAATGCAGTTGGGTATGTTAAAGGGGAGTCTATGACTGGAGCCAGCTGTCTCTTAGGTAAGGAGCCTGAGCATATTGGTTCTCAGTAAGATTATGGAATTCTGTTTGTTTGGGGTTTTTTTGGTACCAGGGATCAAACTCAGGACCTTGCACTTGTGAGGTAGGCACAGTGCCACTGAGCTAAATCCCTGGCCCAAAATAGCACTTTTTTTTTTTTTGGTACTGGGGATTGAACTCAGGACCTTGTGCTTTCGAGGCAGGCAGTGGCACCACTAAGCTAAATCCGTGGCCCTAACCTAAATTCTTTTATGTGATTGCAAATGTGTGTGATTAGCGTAAAGTTTAGTTTTTATGGACTGTTGACCCTTTGTGCTCTGTAAAACCCAAGACACCAATATAAAGCCCAATTTCCAATTTCTGACATAACTGATGTGCAGTAAATTATCCTGACTATTCTGATGGTCACTTCTTATGATATGGGTTCATAGTCTCTTGAGTATTGTCAGTTTTTTTCATTTGTATAGACATAAAGATTAATCAAAAATTCATTCTACCCAAGATAGATGTGTTTTCCAAAGATAGGTGACAGTTGGTGCTGTGTGAGAATCTTTGTTAAAATCAAGGTAGCTTTTAGGGCTGGGGATTTAGTTCAGTGGCACTGCATCTGCCTTGAAAATGAAAGGTCCTGAGTTTGATCCCCAGTACCAAAAAAAAAAATCAAGCCAGCTTCTAAAAAATATCTTCACATTTGAGGCAGGTGCAATGCCACTGAGCTTAAATCTCAGGCCCATCTTCACATCTGAAACAAAAATTTGTCCCCAGATTTGGAAAATGTCTCAGAAATCAACTAAATATTTTAATTGTAAGGCTCAAATGAATTTTAGAGATACTAATATCACACAAACCAAAGATATAGCTCAGTCATAGAGGATTTGCCTGGCATTCTGAAGGCCCTGGGCTCAATCCCCAGCCCAACAGGAAATAAATAAATAAAACCATGCATCAGGAAGGGGATGGCTGGATGAATGGATGGACAGACAGCAGACAGACCTAGCATATTGCTTTGGTTCGTACAGTACTCAAACCTGTATTAAGCCACTCATTTCATTCAGTTGGAAAAATTACCCACATCTGTACTCTGAAACCTAGAAGCAGAGAAATGCTATAACTTTAAAATTTTAAGGTGATTCTATTGCTAGTTACCCCCCAAATTAAAAATTGTCCGCACAATTTCATAGCAAGGCTATCATAACGTTACAGAATAGCCCATGCTCTGTTTCCCAGACACACTGTATACTTTTTTTTTTTTGGTACCAGGGATTGAACTTGGGTCCTTGCACTTGCACAGCAGGTGGCAAAACCACTGAGCTAAATCCCTGGCTACACTGTATACTTTTATCTTTGCTCTTAGCCTCTTTTTCTCTTTACTTGGCCCAAGCTCGCTCTGCACAGCCAGTTTCTTCCCCACTCTTCACTTTTATTTTCTTAAATAAATTTTGTCATTGCTTTAAAAAAAATGTTTCATACCAACTTTGTTCATGGTAGACAAAACCTAGCCATAATATATACATCCATCATTAGGAGGGTGGATAACTAAGTTGTAATGTACCTGTATATTCCAATTGGAATGCTTCTCAGCATAAAAAAGAACAAATTACTGGCCAGGCATGGTGGTGCATACCTGTAGCACCTGGGAGGCTGAGGCAGGAGGATCACTGAGAATTCAAGGCCAGCCTGGGCTACATAGTAAGACCCTGTCTCCAAAAAAAAAAAAAAATTTACAAAGGCAAGACATAAATATCAAAACATTTTTGTGTCTTAGCATAAGGCACATACCATGTGATCCCACAGTTACCATTTATGTGACAGGACTATTTAGTAAAAGACAAAACTAATTTATGGAAATGAAAACCAAAACACTGACTGAATGGCAAGAAACTTTCTGAGGTGATAAAAATTTTCTGTATCTTATAAGCTTGAGGTTATATGTACAGCATAAAATCAAATTATTTGATCTGACTATACATTTTAGAGCCAGGCATGTGACTCTTCCCTGTAATTCCAGCACTGAAGAGGCTAAGGCAAGAGGATCATTGCAAATTTCAGACCAGCCTGAAGTATATAGTGAGATCCTGTCTCAAAAAACCAAAATTCAGAACCAAATGTGGTGGCACACACTTGTAATTCCAGCTCTCAGGAGGCTGAAGCAGGAGAACTGCCACAAGTTCAAGGCTAGCCTGGCTAGTGAGTTCAGGACCAGCCTGGACTATATAGCAAGACTTTGTCTGAGAAAAACAAACAAAAATACCAAATACATGCCTTTATAAATACCATGGTTTTACTTACAGGTATGTACAGCCATCACCACAATCGATTTTAGAACTTCTTCACCACCCCGAAAGGAAACCCTGTACCCTTTAGCTATCAGTCTCTTTCCCTTAATCAACTTTTCATCTCTAATTTACATTTACCTATTTTGAGACATGTATATAAATGCAGTCATTTTGCGACTGACTTCAGAGTTCATCCACCTTGAAGGATGTATCACTGCCTTGTTCATTTTTATTGCCAAAAATATTGTCTGGATATACCAGATTCTATGCATTCATCCACTAATGTACATTTGGATTATTTCCATCCTTATGGTAATATGAATAATGCTATAAACATTCTTATATGTATAAGAATATTTCAGGGCCCAGGGATTTAGCTCAGTGGTTCCCCCTCCTCCTTAGCAAGCACAAGGTCCCAAGTTCGATCCCCGGTACCAAAAAAAAAGAATATTTCAGGTTCTTATCTGGACTTATGTTTTTCTCCCTGTGCTTGGGAATGAACGGGGAGTCTCATTCATGCTAGGCAGCATTCTACCCCTAAGCCACATTCCCAACACTGAACATTTTTCAGTTTTGTGTGTTGCTTTTTTGAGACAGGGTCTCACTAATCCCAGGCTGGCCTCAAACTCGTGGCACTTCTGTCTCAGCCTCCCAAGTGCAGGGATTACAGCAATACACCACCAATGCCCAGCTCAATACTGAGTTTTTGGTTTTGGGGGATGGGATCTCACTGTTACCCAGGCTGGTCCTCGACCCCTGGGCTCACGTGATCCTCCCATCTCAGACTACAGGCATGCCTTGCCACGCCCAGCTGGACATACATTATTTTCCTTGAGTATATACCTAGGAGTGGAATTTCTGGGTTATATGGTAGCTCTGTTTAACTGAGGAATTACCAGACTTTTCTAGGGAAACGATACCATTTCAGAGTCCTATCCAGCACAGTTTGACTATTCCAGTTTCGCCACCACTTACTGTTGAAAAAGGACAGAGACAGACACGCATCAAGAGCCACGGGAAAGTGGGGACTCTTGGTGGGGCGGGTGCGCTTCCTCTTCACCGTCCCAGTCCCAAGCTTCCGACGGCACAGGATGGCGCTGGTTGGGCGTGGCGTCCTGCGCAGCACCGGGCAGTCCTGGTACTTGCAGATGACGTGGCGGGGACTGCGCAGGGTGGCGCGCATGCGTTCTGGGTAACGGCCGTGCGCGTAGGAGGTGGCCGCCTTCTGCTGGCCGGAGCGCGGCTGTGACCACCATGACCCACTTGTGGTCAGCCGCGGACTCCACGCTCACTGTCCTGGGGTGAATCAGCCCATTGTAGCAAAAGGAGATGCGGGCCTTCAGGTTATGGGATTCCGTGCTGTACGTTTGCTTATTCCTGTTGATCAAGAATCTGGGTGGCAGCGGCTGCCCGAAACAGAAAGACCATGTTGTTGTTGTTTTTTTTGATATTGGGGATTGAACTCGGGTCCTTGCGCTTGCGCAGCAGGCGGCTAAACCACTGAGCTAAATCCCCGGCCCCATGACCATCTTTTTAATCATTATCATGGGTGCGAAGTGGCATCTCACTGGCTTTGATTGGCATTTTCCTGAAGTTTAGTATTAAGCAATTTTTCTGTGCTTTTTGTGTATATTCCTTGAAAAACACTGATTGAATGCTTTGCTTTACCTGGGGGGGGGGTACCGGGGATCGAACTCGGGTCCTTGCGCTTGCGCAGCAGGCGGCGAAACCACTAAGCTAAATCCCCGGCCCCTTTACCTGGGTTTTGTTTTGTTTTTGTGTTGTTGGGGGTTTTTTTCCGGTATCCAGAATCGAACTCAGGACCTTGCACTTGCGAGGCAGACGAGGCACCATTGAGCTAAATCCCCGGCCCGCCCTTTTTTTTCCTCCTTTTTTCTTTTTTTTTGGTATGGCTCAAACCTATGGTCTCATGCGTGCTAAGCAAAGACAACACTGAGCTAGGTTCCCAGCGAGTTGTAACACTTCTCTGTGTATTCTAGATGGAAGCCTCTGTACTTCTGTGCCATCGCTGGTACAGAATACCTGATCCACGTCTGTAGGCCTTGCCTCACGTTCCACTCATTCTGAGGCAGAAATGGTGCCAGAAAGGGGTGGTACAAGAAGGCTGCTCAAGCCCTGGCAGCCCGGAAGCAGAGAGAGGAAAGAGCCAGAAACAGGGAGCTGCACCCTCAAAGCCACACCTCTAGTGACCGGGTCACTCCTCCAACTGGGCACTGCCTCCTGCAATAGGGTTAGCTCCAGATGAGTGAGGCGTCGCCATATTCACCTTCGCAAAACCCTGCTTCAGAACATATTGGGCTTCCTGGAAACATTTAACTCATAACAAGTCTCACAGGGCCTGTAGCTGGCGAATGTTTTCTTCCATTGTGTAGATTTTTCCCTGTTTTAAAGATGTCTTTTGAAACACCAGCGTTTTTCATTTTTAAAAAGTTCAGTTTAGGACCGGGAATGTAGCTCAGTGGTGCCGCCTCCTGCCTTGCAAGCACAAGGTCCCGAATTCGATCTCCCATACAGGTAGGTAGGTAGGTAGGTAGGTAGGTACGTAGGTAGGTAGGTAGGTAGAGAGATAGAGATAGATAGATCAGTTTATGTATTTTTCTTTTGTTGCTCATGTTTTTCCTGTCATAGCTAGTAATCCTTTGTTAGCCAGATGTAGTGCCACACACCTGTATTCTCAGCAGTCTGGAGGCTGAGGCAGGAGGATCACCACAAGTTCAAGACCAACCTGGGCTACATAGTCCAGAGCCAGCCTAAACTGTGTAGGGAAACCCTCTCAAGAAACAGCAACAGGGGCCGGGGATTTAGCTCAGTGGTTCCGGCACCTGCCTCTCAAGCTCAAGGTCCCGAGTTCGATCCCCAGTACCAAAAAAAAAAAGAAACAGCAACAACATTGCCTTGTTAAACAAATTTTTATCTATGTTCATAGTTTTTTCTTCTGTTATCTTTATCCAGTTTTAGTATTAGCACAATGTTGATTTCCTAAAATGAGGGGAGAAGCGTTCCTTCTCTTTTCTGCTTTAAGTGTTTGATATAATTCATCAGTTAAAATGTATATGATGCTGGGGATCTAGCTCAGTGGTTTCGCCGCCTGCCTTGCAAGCGGAAGGACCGGAGTTCGATCCCCAGTACCAAAAAAAAAAAAATGTACATGAGCCTGTTGTTGTCATATAGGTAGGTTTTCAAGCTAGGAATATACTTTCTTTAATAGGTGCTATTCAAATTTTGTTTATTTAATTATTTATTTTTGGTACTGGGGATCAAACTCGGGACCTTGCACTTTTTAGGCAGGCACTGGAACCACTGAGCTAAATCCCTGGGCCACTATTCAAATTTTATATTTCCTCCAGAGTCAGTTTCATTAATTTGTCTTCCAAGATGTTTCTTAGAAGTTGTCAAATTTATTTCAAAAAAGATTTTTGTAATATGCTTTCTATATCCTTTTAAATTCTGTAAAATCTGTTGTAATGTCCACTAAATTTTGATATTGTCATTAAAACAATGTATAATTGATATGTGTAATGGGAAGAAAAGAGCTAAAGGAGTAGGGGAAGTGGGAGGGGTAGGGGAAAAGAAAGAAGGGAAAAGAAAAAAATATGAGAAAAGGAAAAAAAAATGGGGCTGGGGATTTAGCTCAGTGGTCCTGAGTTTGATCCCCGGTACCAAAAATAAAAAAGAAACAAAGTATTTGCAAATAGGGAAGGGTGGAGGGGGTGAAGGGGGGTAGGAAAGGGGAAAAAAATAACCAAGATACATCATGTAAAGGTTACAAGATCCCAATGATGAATGTAACTATTTTATACCTAAAATGTACCAATAAACTTAAAGGGAAACAGCAACAACAACAAAAAATCCTTTGCTAAGGTCATGAGAGTTTATCCCTGTAAGTTTATCTCTTACATTTAACTTTTGAGTTAACTTTTGCATATAATATGAAATAAAGGCTCAGCTTCATTTTTGCATACAGGAATCTTATTAAGCTTATATTTAGTCACATAGTAACATTTCATTGTTTCATAGTGGTTTAATAGCTGTCATGGATGTGAACTAACTTTTACATACTGCAGATTATAATTTTATTTGCTTAGGACTCATGTATTTTGGTCTTTGCCCGGTGGTAATGCTGTAGTTCATAAGACAGACTAGATGATGGCTAATAATCTTTTGTGTCTCATATAATGTGGCCTAGGGACCCAGGCCCATTTCCACGTTATGACCGAGTGTGGTCCTATTGAAGTTTGTCCATCTAATAAATTCTCCCAAAGAATTCCCCCAATTCGCCCCATTGGGGTGGCCCCCAATGCAGTGGCGCGGGTCTCACAGTGGGTGGACGATCACTTTCGCCTGGTCCAGGTACCACAGGCTGGCCAGCCCAGCAGGGAGCAAGCCCAGGAGGGACCTATCCAGAGAGGTCGCAGGAACATCAGCACTGGGATAGCCATAGCTGGAAGAATGTTATTTCTTTTTTTTGGTACCGGGGATCGAACTCGGGTCCTTGCACTTGCGCAGCAGGCGGCAAAACCACTGAGCTAAATCCCCAGCCCAAGGAATAATGTTATTTCTAAGAAGTGTTCAACTGACATCAAAATTTATAAGATCTTCAGATATTCCAGCAGAATTTATAAGAAAGAATGTTAAATTACAAGGACGATTCCACCAGATAACTAATAATGGATTAGAAATTAAACATATTCCCATTACTTTACCTATTATATCTTCATGGAGAAAAGAGCCATGCGGTGTTTTGCTGGTTAAGCTGGCTGGAGTAGAACTCACTGAAGCTGGGAAGGTATGGTTACCAAAGGAGCTCAAAGCTTCCCAACTACTATGGTTCCAGCTTCTTGGAAAGGAGAATTCAGTGTTCTTTTGCTACCTTTTAGTGAATAAGGATGGATATTTTAGTGTGAATCTGAATGAAGAAATTTTGCAAAGAGGCCTGGCCAGAACTGTTCTTGTTAAAGGGCTGAATTATAATTTCAAAATTTACTGGACAATTCACAGAAAATTACTTAAAGCTGAATTAACAGCTATTTAAAAAAAGAAGGAATATGGAAGGAAGAATCTGAAAAAGAAAGTTATTTGGGAAAACTCAAAGACTCCTGGAAAGAAATGTGGAAAAAAGAAAGTTATTTAAAGAAACTAGATCCGATTTCAACTTGAAAAAAGGAAGTTATTATGACAAATTGAGAACTTACGAAACACGGAAAGACAACATGAGTATTAACTACTCCTTAATGCCGAAATTCAGAGAATTTATGGGTCGCTTACATTTTCATAGGAAAGAGTGATATATCCAACAAGTCTAGAGGTGACTCCTCTGAAAAGTAAAATATGTCAACGTGGAGATTTTTCACTGATCCTGCATGGAAATTTCCACAAATGATCAAAGTTGAATTCTAATGGTATTTAAACATTAAAAAGATTATGTCTAGTGTAATATCAGAATTAATTTAAATAAAGGTTAATGTGTAATGCTTTTAGAAACAATGAAGTACTATAAAAAAAAAGTTACCAGAACTAGATTAGGTGGCACATGCCTGTAATCCAAGCACTCTGGGAGGCTGACGCAGGAGGAGCAAAGTTAGATCCCAGCCTGGGCAATTTAGAGATTTAGTGAGACTCTCTCAAAAATTTTAAAAGGACAGGGACTGTGGTTTAGTGTGAAGGCACTGGGTTCAGTCTTCAGCTCTGCCTGCTCCCATTATCAGGCTGTATATATGTAGTACCATTGTTTGAAGAGAAAATCCAAGTGCTGACCATTGTGTTATGTTGAGCAGCTATATTTAATTTTTGTTCAAAGAGAACTTTTCCAACTTTATCAACTTTCATTATTTATATAATAAAGGAATTATTTATACTTTAAAAAAAAAGAATTCTACCGTGTAACCTGCCTGTCACTGTATCTGCAGTTCATATTCATTTTGGCATGATTCCGGGCTGCCTCCACAGCCCGGGGTTAGAATACTTCTTCACAGGTCCAGCACTCCATGGAAAGCCTAGGGCACTGCTGACCTTGGACAAATCCACGAACTCTGGGCCCTCCTGTCTGCTGTCAGACACTGACCTGGGTGATAGGAAGGCTCTGTCCACATGTAAGGCACTAAGCTTCTGCGGCTTTGTGCTGTTTCTTCGTTTCATGGGGAGGGACTGGGGTCTTTGAATGCTAGATTTGGTGAAAGTGAAAACATGTTTAGCTTCTTTGTGCTGAACCTCAGTTTGTGTTGAATTT